CTCCGACTCCGGAGCAGCCGGAAAGGCGGCCGGGTCGGCGCGGCCGGAGAAACCTGCTGGGTCGGCCCGCGCGGCCATGAGTGCGAGGAAGAAGGCCACCCCGGGGGCTGCTGCTGCTGCGCCGGCTGCGACGAGTGGGAGTAGTTTGGCCAGCTGGGCGCTGAAGGGCGTGGGGATGGAGGAGAAGACTTCCAGGTGAGCTGGAGGGGTGCAGGTGAGGAGGAGTGGACAAGGTGAGTGCGAGGGAAATAGGCGGCAGGGTCGGCGCGGCCCTCAAACCCTCCTCGGACTCCGGTGCAGCAGGGAAGGCGGCAGGGTCGGCGCGGCCGGAGAAACCTGCTGGGTCGGCCCGGGCGGCCATGAGTGCAAGGAAGAAAGCAACTCCGGGGGCTGCTGCTGCTGCGCCGGCGGCGACGAGCGGGAGTAGTTTGGCCAGCTGGGTGTTGAAGGGCGTGGGGATGGAAGCGAAGAGCTCCAGGTGAGCTTACGGAGGTTGTTGGGGGGTAATGGAGGAGTGGAAAGGGGTGGGGCGTGGCGGAGGGGACTGTTCCTGCTCCTGCTCCTGCCCCTGCTCCTGCTCCTTTCTTTCTCACCCTCCTCTATCCCTTTGTTACCCACTCTTTTCCCTCGTCTTCTCTTCTTCCCCTCTCAGTTCTGAGCGTTCGTCAGTCTGTGCCTCCAGTTCACGCCAGAAAGGTCGGCGCCTCTTCTCCTTCCTCTCTCTTTCCCCTCCCTCAATCTCACTCTCTGCTCTCCCCTTGTTTTTTTCTCCCTCCCTTCCCCTCTCAGTTCTGAGCGTCCGTCAGTCTCAAATCCCAGTTCAGGCAAGAAGGCCGGCTCTCCTCCTCCTCTCTTGACCGGGCTCTTTCCTCTCCAATTGGTTTGCTCTCCCCCCCTTCCCCCTTCTCAGTTCTGAGCGCCCCTCAGTCTCGGCTGCTAGTTCAGGCCAGAAGGGCCGGCGGCTCTTTGTGTTCATCGTGGGCGGCATGAGTCGGTCCGAGGTGAGGGGAAATTGACTGGGGTGTAATGCGGTGGGGCGGAGTGTGATGCCATGGGGTGGGATGTGATGCGGTGGTGTGTGTGTGGGATACGATGTTTTTGTATGGGATGTGATGCGGTGGGATGTCACAAGTTATCGAAACAGGTCCATTTGGAAGCAAATTACTGCACTTGCCATCCTCCCGCACCCTATCCTTTTTTACCCCAATGTTCCATGCCCCATGTCCCATGCCTCGTGCCCCATGCCCCATGCCCCACATCCCAACCCCATGCCCCACTCCCCCACCCCCCTTTCTTCCAGATCCGAGTGGCTCACATACTCTCACAGCAGCTCAACCGGGAGGTCATCATCGGGTCAACGTCGCTTGACACACCCAACAAGTTCATCCAAGTGAGATGCGACCCCCTGCTGCTGCGCACTCAATTTCTACGATACAAGGCACTCTAGCAGCTGTTGTTTGCTTGCTGCGCTGCTCATTTGCTGCTGCTAATCTGCTCCCTGCTGTGACTTTGCCTTGGTCCATGCTCTCTCTGTTGCTGTTTACCTCATATCAGACCTCTGTCACTCACCCATCCCTCCCCTTTCTTCTCCCTTTTCTCATTCCCTCATCCCTCCCCTTTCTTCCCCTTTCCCATTCCCCCATCCCTCCCCTTTCTCTCCCTTTTCCCCATTCCCTGTAGAAAATGAAACTTCTTAAGAGTTAGCGTTCATGCGCAACATCTAGAGGATACATGCTGTTTGTCATTACACCATCCGCACTGTTTAGGAGAAAGCGGGTTGTGTGGAGGGACAAGGAGAGGGCAAGGGTGTGTCAGATGGATAAGGATCTTCCACATCATAACAGTGCAACATTTCTATGCCCCTCACACAAGTATTGAGCTGCCCATGGTGCTGGTAGCTAGACATTAGTCTCACTAGTGTTGAATTATGAGCTTTCACAAAAACGGCTGTGGTAGTGTATGCATAGAATTGGTAGTGTTGAGATCATATGCTCTTATTCAGGGGCAATGTTCTAAGCTCAAGGCTTAGATAAGGCAATATCTATGGGTGCTTTTCAGTTAATTTCAGACGCCATGGATCTGCGGACAATTCGAACTGCGATCTCATTTTCCCAGTGCGGGTTTGCAAATGCAATCTTTTCGGGCAGAACCATGCGGCTGCCCGTGTTTAGGGTTGGGGCTCCCCGTGTTTAGGGTTGGGGCTCCCCTAATCGCATGCCATCCAGATGGGGTTTATTTTTTTCTGACCGCGGGCAGATTACGACCATCAGCTTCTTCCAGGGGGACTGTTAGGGATCGCATTTGCGAACCGCGCTGGCCTAATTGGATTGCAGCTGAAGTTGTCCCCATGGATCTGTGCTGAAATATGCAATTTTATATACGTGTGCATATTAGCTCTAATGAGGCAATGTAGACTTCACAATGGAAGGGATTCCCTTATGAGCATCCCCCATATATTACAGCTCATAATGCCAAAACGACGCTTCAATGTGAAGCTCCATAATCGCGACTATGGTGTAGTGAAAGCTGCTTCAGCCCGCTACCAGACAAAAGCAGGGAGCGGCTGCGTCGGGCTTGGTTCGGACGCAGTCGGTGTGAGCACGGACATGGGACTGGGGCCGCCCGCTGTTTCCCTCGATACAGGCACAGCATCTTTCACCATCAAGGAACTTTCGTTAGCACCACGAAGTGGCGCCTTGAAATCCACGGCAAATTCTGGAATATCCACAACTGCATCATAAGCCGCTCGACGAGGCTCGTCCGCGCAAACGGACGTCGCGGCAGGTTCGGGACAAACGAGAGCGATCAGGCTAGACCAAAGGGATGACGTGTCGACGGAGCAACCGCAGGATTCGCGATATCTGCGATTCATACTCGGCGACTGCAGGTCGAACTCGCTGAATTCAGATCTACTCAAGATGTGCGACATCAGGTGCTGCTGCGACACATTTACAGCGTGTTCTGCGACGGGTCGTTCCGCGACAGACGACGTCGCAAATCGCGAGCTCCGTGTAAGGGTCGAGGAACTCTGCTTTCTGTCGTTCAACCCACAGCCGGAAAGCAAAATTCCGTGTCCCATACCCATCCCCATCCCCGCGCCCATCCCCGTATTCCTCCCCCGATAATGCGCGCCCGCGATCATCCCTCCATTCAGGCGCCCTCCGCAGCCGGGCGCAGCTTCCGCCGGCTCCGGCAGCCCGGCAATTGGCGCACTGGCGCGCGGAGGCTCCGGATCGTCCCGCCAGAGCCGCCTTTTCTGCCTGTCCTGCGGCTGCGGTTGCGGCGGCGGCGACGGCTCTTGCGGTTGCGACGTCGGGACGGGTTTCTGGAAGAAGAAAAGCGGAGTAGGGGAAAGCGGAGGCGGAACGGTCTCCGGTATTGCGAGCATGCTTGGGCGCGGCTTGCGCCCGAGAGGAGGATAGGGATTGTAAGAGAAGGTGATTGTGCTAGTATCGAGCTCCATCTGCGTGTCGCAGTAAGGTGCCATGGCTGTACGAGGCTTCGACACGAAGGTGGCTGAGGGATTGCGGGTAAGAAGGTTTTAGGAAATGCTGCCGAGGTCTCGGGGAGTAGACTATGGAGGCGCCTCGAATGACGAGGAATTGTCAGGAGGTGGATGATAAATAGAGATTTATAAAAGATGTGGATGATGCCTATGGTGCTGGGAAGCTGAGAGTTGTCAGGGATGGGTGAGAGGATGGTCGTGAAGTGGACTTGCGTGGACTTGTGTTGTCAAGGGTAAAAGCTGGGCCGGATAATGTTGGGCTTGAAAAGTTGAAGCTTTGATAGCTCTGCTTGTTCAGGTGGTTGGTTGGGGAAAGGTGGTTAGCTGGCGAGCAGAGCAAGGAGCAGCGTGGAGGGGAAAGCGAGGAATCAATTCAATGCAACATGCTCATTTCTGGGACCACCTGACCTGTGCGACGCGTAACGCGTTCCATCCAGGGGGCGGCGCAAAGTGGCGAGGAGAGATTCTGGTTCGCCAGGAGGGGAACGAACAGAACATTACAAACGAGCCGAACGAAAGCAACGAAAACAACGGAGTTACTGTAGTCTGTACGTCATGAAATGCGTTGGATTGGTTGGATTGGTTGTTACTGTAGCTAGGGAGGCTTTCCTCAACGATCTCCCTCTCGCACTTTCCGAGTCGCAGCTGAAATGTAACGCAGTCAATCGACGGACGATACACATCTATGACTCTCTGGATTGACCGCTCGATGCAAGGCCCCAGCACAAGCCACTGAGGGGAGCAGGTCGCGCAGCGGAACGTTGGTATACATCTACGTCTCTTATTGGCTGGTCATCTGACCCAAACCAGGCTGGCTCATATGGGCGTGTCGCTAGCTAGGACGATTTCCAGGCCAGTTGACCCCTGGTTCGGGAGATGCTGGTAATTATGGGCTGCTGACTCTCCCTCATTGGTTCACATGGAACCTAAACGCCCAGTGTGATGAGGGGTACTGTGACTGTGCTGGAGTGAAGTGTACGTCGCGCCACCACTGGTGTATGAAAAAACCAACCTGCGACGCGAGTGGGGACGACTCGTGTGCTTCAAAATCTCCCCGAACCGACTATTACCGTACCAGAGGCAAGAGTACAGAAGTTGGATCTATTTCCGTCAACCGAATTTGTTTGTGTGCTCACCACCATCATACAAATTGTCCAGATAGTAGGGATGAAAAGCCCTCAGTTTGCGGCCCGTTCTGCTACCAGCGCCAACAAAATTTTAGCCAGGGGATCACAACAGAGAGTGCTGGGATGTGGTAAAAGTTCCGGCGCAAGTCGTTACAGAAACAACTTGATTTCAGAAAGAATCATGCGTCCTTACAGTTGCCACAGAAGTGCTGTCTTCACTATATATCTTTGGGGGCCTTCAATATTCACTATATCGCAATGCCTCTGAAGTATTACTAAATTCACTGAACTCCACAGTACTACAGAAACAATCGACGCATCAGCCTGTGACACAACCCAATGCAGCCTACAAAAACAATGTACTCACTTCAATCTGAGGAGCTAGACGGTTTTACTACAACCACAGGACAAGGGGCGTGGTTGACACAATAATCTGAAACGCTCCCAATAAGCATCCTGCAGGACACACAAATTAAACACATTCTGTGGCGCACCTCTGATATTCTGAAGTACCGCAATACACGTACGATGTTCACAGGTGTGAAAAAGGTTCAACAAAAAGCAGACACACGTCCTTCACACCCACCTCTTCACGGGACCCATCCCCCGGCTGCCCAGGATCAACACGTCAGCATCAGTATCCGCCACCTCAGATACGATCCTCTCCCGCGGGTCTGCATCGCGCACAACCCTCACCTCACACTGCAGCTGGAGTGAGAGGGGAGACGATTGGGTAGTGGGAAGATATGGGTGGGAGGATATGGGTGGGAAGTGATGGTTGGGAGGTGATGTGCGGGAAGACAAATTCTGCTCATGGGTTTGAGGCAGAGAGCAGGAACAAAACGAGGATAAACCAAGCACTGGGACCAAGGGACTATCAAAAGTCTCACAGACGTTATTCCTCAGTTGATACACAAACACATCGCAGCAGAAGCAGCAGCAGCACTCTCTTGAGATCAGCACTGCAAGCACCCTTCCTCACCTCCACCCACAGCATACACTCAGTGCCTCACCTCGGCGTTGGAGCATCGTTGCAGCAGCAGTCGCTTGAGCTCCGCGTTGACGGCGCTCTGGCGCTCCTCCGTGCGCACAAGAAGCTGATCCATGGCCGCCTCACTCATCGTCGTGTCGCCCAGAGCTGATGGATCGTGGCCCGGGGAGTGGTTGGTGGGATCATTGCGGGAATTATTGTTGAGAGAGTTGTTGGGATGGTGGTGGTCATGGGTGTGGTGTAGCAGGGATTCGGGAAGAGGTGGCAGGAGGGGGAAGAGGGAGTGGAATGGGGTTAGGCACGGTTGATGCAGCAGCTCGTCCACTGTAGCAACTGCAGCGTCACTCTCAGCAGCAGCAGCAGAGTCAGCAGCAGCAGAGGCAGCATCGGATGCAGGAACTACATTAGAAGGAAGATTGGGATTTTCTTTGCTGGTGGTTGCAGTCACCGCCTCTGCATCAGCGCGAGAAACATCAGGATGATTGATGAGAACTGCTGCTGCTGCTGCTGCTGCTACTGCTGCTGCTACCAGCACCACCCGCTTCAGAATCCCAGGCTGCACACCAGCAAGAGCAAGGGACAAAGATGCTCGTATGCTTTCAGTGAAGACCAATCCACTGTCCCCCGCTCACTTTTGAGTCGACTCAATAGTCAGGCAGCACAGCAGCAAGCGCAAGGGACAGAGATGCTCGTGTGCTTTCAGTGAAAACCAATGCACCGGCCCCCGCTCATACGAAAGCCAACGCCCCCCCTCACACTTGACAGCACTTTTAAAGTAAGCCTATCAATATTCCGTTACCTGACATCGTTTCGTTACTGGGTATACAATGGAACCAGGTAAAACAATGTAACCAGGCGGTGCCATTCCGGACGTTACCTGCGTAGATTCCGGGAGCAGTGAGGGCCTCCGTTGGCGATTGCACATGCAGCATCGTGACCAGATCGGACGGCCGCAAATGATTCTCGATCGCCCAATCCACAGCGTGCAAGCTGTTGAGCAGGTGAACGCATGGATGACATTACGACACAAGAGGGCGAATGAAAGGGTTTCAGAATGTCTCAGACTCGGCTGTATGAATGACAATAAGATTCAGGAGAGTGAATGTGGAGTTCCCAAGGTGTCTCACTCCAATGCATGAATGATTTCATGACACAAGAGGGCGAATTGAATGAAAAAATTCTCAAGATCTCGACTCACCTATCTCGACTCACCTATCGCGACTGTGATCCACCGCTACAATCACTCGCCGCTGCTCGCCGTCCGCCGCAGATCCCGCTGCATCCCCCGCCGAGCCTCCCTTACCGCTTCTACCAGCCGCATCCCCGCGCTCGCGACTGCTTTCCGCGGCTACTGCGCCGCGAGGAGCGCCGGCGGAGGCGGAGGAGGTGGTGGAGGCGGAGGCGCGCTGGCAGGAGGAGGCGGCGACAATTCCGAGGGCCAGCGACACGCCAGGGGCAGCAAAGCGAAACATGACCGGCGCGACTAAAACAGGACCGTGACACGTCCAGGAAAAACTAAATCTGGACAGAAAAAGGATGCAACTTGGGTTGTAGCGGTCAACAGAGTACGTCTATTATAATGACTAGTTCAGAAAGCGTACTTGCCAATGCTTTATGCACGCTTAACTTACGAACCAGGAGACGACGTCTCTACTACAGATGCCACTCGTTAGCTTTACGCGGCAGAATCAATGCAACGAGATTCGGCTAAGAGAAACTTTAGTGCTGGGAAGCCATTGCCATGATGAACAATGCAAGGACTACTTTCTTGATGCTAGGACTACTTTCTTGATACTTGGAAAAATGTAGAAATCTAGGTTATCTAGATGTGGGGCAAGAAAACCGTTTTCGATTGCCGAGGTTCGATATGGTACCTCTAACCTACAGCACTTTAAGAATCGGTTTAATTTGGTTTAGATTGTTTCCAAGGCTCAGTGATATTCTCCTTCTGGTTGAAGGCTGGTTCAGGGCGCATTTCAGGTAGTTACGAACAACCATCTTCGTAACAAGCGACTGCTGTACGACTCTTTGCTACTTTGTGCGATTCTCGACGACCAAAACCTCGTAACAGCTTCGAGCTAACATCTGGCGGCATTACAAACGTTGGCGATCATGATTCCCCGATCGTGCACCGACAACTTTATAGCAGGCGACCGGTATTCGTACCTTCAATTTGTTGGACTGATTTTGCGGTCAAAACGAGTGCGGGACGGGGTGATGTTGTTTGGAATTGAGCGAGCCGCGACAGAACATTTCCCTAAATTTATTTTGGGCAGCACCAACAAAAACTTTGGCTCGTAAGGCCGTCAGTTGTCAGTGATCAGTTGTTCGGAGGAGGTAAATACAGCCTTGTAACAAGTTTGGTCGCGTGCGACGACCAACTTGTTCGGAAGCCACTTGTTACGAGGCCTGAAACGCGCCCTCATTCTCCTCCTCGCTTCGCGGCATGTTCTGGGCTTGTCAGATTCTTGGGCCACGTATGACGTGGAACGATATGGGTTGTGACGGTGCAGATATTTCAAATCTGCCTTGTTGGAGTCACGGCTGGTCAGAAGTAGGTATTCTACACAATATTTGTACTAAAATTTGTGCACCATTCAAGTTTTTTCCTATGACTTTTGAATTCCCCTGCATCTTCAATGGATACCAGTTATTGACTGGAGCGACATGGTGCAACACTGCATTTTGAGTTTTAAGCTTTGTGTAAAAATCAATTGTGTTACATAAATGCAAATTTGAGTTCTGACAGAACCTAGCAATATATATGAGAGCCAAGAGGAGGATCTCCATTTATCGCCTTTCAAGGATGCTATCACTCCACGATAGAAGCAGATCCCTCCCAATAGATGGTATTCCTGCACAACGCACAAAGGTAACATCAATGAAGGAACTAGAGAAGAAGGCATCTACCAAAACAAGGCACAGTCAGTCAGACCTAACGGGACCTTGGCTTACCTTCAACAATATCTCCTACAAGAGCATCGGTTGGAAGGTCGTCAGCCACAAGCCGGTATAAGTCCATCACCTATTAACATGGGCAAAAGTGGATGGAAAGAGTTAGGATGTGCAACCATGAGTCGTGGGTCAAACCCGGTCATAGTGTCCCTCAAACCTTGAGACCAAAGAGAGCAAACCAACGCCCTCCATCTCACCTCTTTAACATGCAGCCTTGAGTCCGGGGCGAATACCAGCAGTATCTGCCTCCGGAGCCCTGGATCCATCAGCAGCACGCACACCCAATCCCGTTCCCATCTCATGGTGTCCCCTCCGTCCCTCCTTCCACTCACCTCTTTAACGTGCAGCCTCGAGTCCTGTGTGAACGCCAGCAGTATCTGCCTCCTCAGTCCTGGGTCCATCAGCAGCACACGCGCCCCGTCCCGAATCGTCTCCCTCAGGTCCAGACCCCCGTCTGCTACTGCTGATGCCGCTGACGTGGTTGCTGACGTGGCGGCTCTGGCTGGGCCTCCAGTGGAGAGGCCTGTGAGGAAGGCTGGAGCTGGGATCGGCAGAGCGAGTTGGCTGAGGCTCCTGTGGTTGGGGATGAAGGGGGAGAGGAGCCAGAGAAGCGGAAGGAGAGTAAGAAAGGGAAGATTAAGGAGAGTAAGGGAGACGGAAGCATGGGTGGCAGAGCAAAGGCTTCTGAGGCTCCTGTGGTTGGGAATGAAGGGAGAAAAGGGGGGGGGAGAGTGCGCGAGTGAGGAGGAAGGAGGGGGGGGGGGAAGAAAGAGGGTTGAGGAAGAGACAGGGAAGGACGAGCGAGGTTCAGACAAACTCACAACTCACCCAAATGCAGCGGGATCAAGCGGGAAGAAGCCTGGGTTGGTGAAAACAGCCGCCGGTGCCGGTGTTGCTGTTGCTGCCGCTGCTACTGCAGTGGCAGAGCCGTCTGGGTGGTGTGCCCTGTTTGCTAGCGCCACTTGCTCCTTTGCCAGTGTGATCGGATCACATTCTCCAGGCACTTCTTGAGGAGACTTACACCACCTCACCTTTCTGAACTCACAACTCACCCGAATGCAGCGGGATCAAGCGGGAAGAAGCGTGAGTCGGGAACAACAGCTGCTGGTGCCGGTGTCGCTGCCACTGCTACCGCTGTGACAGTGCCGTCTGGGTGGCGAGCCCTGTTTGCTAGTGCCACTTGCTCCTTGGCCAGTGTGATAAGATTCTCCAGGCGCTTCCACTGGAACACACCGTCCTTGAATAGCACCTGGGGGGAAGGAGATAAACGGGGGCAGTAGAGGAGGGCAAGAAGGATGGTGTGAAAAAATAGTATTCTCTCCTCTTGATTCTTCAGGCGCTTCCACTGGAACACACTGCCCTTTCATAGCACCGAGGCGGAAAACAAGGGGGAAGGTGGAGGTGGTGACGAGAGTAAGGGGGGGCTCTCTTTTGATTCTCCAGTCGCTTCCACTAGAAAATCAGCAGGGTGGATGATTGTAACATCACGTGCTTACCTTGCCTGGATGAAACGAGAGTGCAGAGCTGGATCCGGGTCAGTGAGTAGGCGCTTGGCTACGTAGGGGTAGGCGACTTCAAGAAACTTGAAGTTGGGCTTGAGGGAGAGGCGGATGCCCTCCTGGGTGGTCAGCTAGCTGTGAGACTTGTGAAAGCACCAAAACGCGGGGCGCTTGTGCGCACCTGGATGAGCCGAGACCGCAGTGCCGGATCAGGATCCGTCAGAAGACGTTTCGCCACGTAAGGGTAGGCGACTTCAAGAAACTTGAAGTTGGGTTCGAGGGAGAGGCAGATGCCCTCCTGGGTGAGCAGCGAGCGGATCACGAGGGAGAAGCGCTCCGGGATGCGGATGGGGAAGTTGTACACCAGCTGGTTGAACTTGCCTGGGAGGAGGAAAGGGGTGGGGTTGGAAGAGGGTGGGTGGGGTGCGGTGGGGTGGAGGGTTGGGAAAGGAGACATTTGGATCACGAGGGAGAAGCGCTCCGGGATGCGGATGGGGAAGTTGTACACCAGCTGGTTGAACTTGCCTGCATGAGTAGATAAGGATGGGTGGGAGGGGGTGCAAGTGGGTGGAAGGGGTTGGGGAGCAGGGGGAGGGAGGGCGCAGGGGTGAAGGTGGGTTAGGAGAGATACATTTTAACGACGAGGGAGAAACGCTTGGGGATGCGGATGGGGAAGTTGTACACCAGCTGGTTGAACTTGCCTGGCAGGAGTGGATAAATTGGCAAAGGGGTGGAGACAGAAGTCGATGGGTGGGGGGAGAGAGAGGAGAGGGGTTGAAGCCGTGTGAAGCCCGTCCCATCAAACACAACCAACCACCCACCCAACCACCCCAGAGAGAGGAGAGGGGGTCCTTTCTCCCCCAACCACCCCGTCCCCCCTCGCCCCGAATCCAACTCACATGTGACGGTTCGGAAGTTGAAGTCCGCCAGGCTCTGCCCTGTGCTGTTCTGCCAGATGGCTTCCAGCGCCGGCACAATCGGAGTCACATCCGTGCCAGGCGCCAGGAACCCCAGGCGGAAGTCCGTCCCACCACACACCACCCTTTCTCCCCCACCCACCCATTCCCCCCCCCCCCTCAACTTTCTGGTTGCCACTCACGTGTGACGGTTCGGAAGTTGAAATCTGCCAGGCTCTGCCCCGTGCTGTTCTGCCAGATGGCCTCGAGCGCTGGCACAATGGGAGTTACATCCGTGCCAGGAGCCAAAAATCCCAGGCGGGTGAAGTCCCCGGCCATCTCGACATAGTCCTCGTTGACAGCATGCACGATGGCGTCGATGAGGATCTCCTTGTTATACTGGCTCAGCTCCGCCACGTTGCCAAAGTCCACGTAGGCTATGCGCCCATCCCTCATCGCAAAGATGTTGCCTGAAGGGGGCGGGGGCAGGGGCGTTGTGTAGGAGGGAGGGGGAGGAGGAGGGGGAGGGGGAGGGGGAGAGGGTCGAGGGAAAGTCAAGAGCCCCTGGCAGATGAATTTTGCAACCACCACATCACACTGCACTTCGCGACAACACACTGCACCACACCCCACCCCACCAAACCTCACCATACCACACCACACACCTGGGTGGGGGTCGCCATGGAAGAGGCCGAACTCTAGCAGCTGGCGGAGAGCGGCGCTGACGCCCACCGTGAGGAACACCTCCGTGTCTATGCCCGCTGCCCTGATCGCCTGGCGTGGGGGAGAGAGAGACACAGAACAGGGGAGAACATCCACATGTAATTGAGAGGAGATTGAGCAGCTGGCGGAGGCAACTCTGGCGCCCACCGCAAAGAACACCTCCGTGTCAGTGCCTGCTGCCCTGATCGCCTGGCATGGGAAGAGGTAGAGACAAAAGGGAGGGAAGAACACACTTATGAATGGGAGAGGATTGAGTAGCAGCAGCGCTGACGCCCACCGCAATGAACACCTCCATGTCAATGCCTGCTGCCCTGATCGCCTGGCGTGGGAAGAGAAGAGGGAGAGACAAAAGGGAGGGAAGAACACGCATATGAATGGGAGGGGATTGAGCAGCAGCAGCGCTGACCCCAACAGTGAGGAACACCTCCGTGTCTATGCCTGCTGCCCTGATCGCCTGGCGTGAGGAAGGGCACAGGCAAAGACGAGGTGCAGGCGTGAGTTTAGAGTACAGGTTGGGATAATCAATGGATTTTTTTTTAACCCATTCCCAACCCCGCCTTCTCTATCCCTCCTCCTGTCCCGCACCTGGGGGTCGGTGCAGCGGATGCCATCAATCCACTCCATCACCAGCACTCTCTCCCCGCTCAGCTCAGCTTCCTTTCCTTCCCTGCCTTCCCCCGGCCCTTTCCCACCCTTACCCTTACCCCAAAACCTATCCCTAGTAACCCGCCCACACCTGGGGGTCGGTGCAGCGGATGCCATCAATCCACTCCATCACCAGCACTCTCTCCCCTCTCAGCTTCGAGTAACACAATGGAATCTTGACTGTCGGATCCCCTAGAAAGTTCTCGTAGAAGCTCTGGATGTTGCGGGCCTCCTGGCGGTAATCCAGCTCTTCTAGAAGCTTCCCTGCCTTCCCATCCCACATTCCACCGACCCTTCACCATGCCAACCTTGCCCCCTCCCCCCTCCCTTACCCTAGGCCCGACCACCACCTCTAAAACTGTACCTGGGGGTCTTTTGAGAATTCTCAAAAAAATCCCTGCAACGTTTTGGGCCGACCACCACCTAAAACTGTACCTGGGGGTCGGTGCAGCGAATCCCGTCGATCCACTCCATCACTAGCACTCTCTCGCCACTCAGCTCCGAGTAACACAGGGGGATCTTGACCGTCGGATCTCCGAGGAAGTTCTCGTAGAAGCTCTGGATGTTGCGGGCCTCCTGGCGGTAGTCGAGCTCTTCTAGAAGCTTCTCGCCAAACTCGTCGACGATGAGCTCGGCGTTGCACCCGAGCTTCTGGATGGAGATGCCGTTCAGGAAGGACGCCAGCGTGCGGAAGAGAAAGAGATCCCGGTAGATCACTGGCTCGATTCCTGGTCGCAGCACCTGACGAGGAGGGGAAGGGGAGGGGGAGGAGGAGAGAGAGGGGAGGGTGGTATTCAGGGCAAAATCCGAGCAGGATTCGGGGGTGTGGAGGGTGGGAGATGAGGGGCAGGGAGCGGAGGGGAGGGGGTGTTGCATGGGGGGCCTCCTGGCAGTAGTCCAACTCTTCAAGCAGCTTCTCGTCAAACTCGTCGACGATGGGCTCGGCGTTGCACCCGAGCTTCTGGATGGAGATGCCGTTAAGGAAGGACGCCAGCGTGCCGGTAGATCACTGGCTCGATTCCTGGTCGTAGCACCTGGGGTGTGGGGAGGGGCGATGGGAGGAGGGGGAGGGTGGGTAAGAATAAACTGAGGTCTTAGTAGACCACCGGCTTGATACTTTGTCGCGGCACCTGGTGGGCTGGAGATGGAGAGGAGGAGGGGGGATTGGTGGGTTTCGGGCAAAAACTACACAAAGTTCGGGGGCATGGAGAGGAGAGGCTTGCGAGGTGGAGTGGAGATACATGAAGATCAGGCATGTGCGTGCGTCAGGTGGCTTATAACAAGCATTTCAGACGCCCACCCGTACTGCATGCCAGCCATATCACCTTCACCATGACTGCCACACCATCCTCACCTTGACTGCCACCTCGGCTCCCGAGGCTCTCAGCCTGGCTCGGTAGACCTGCCCGAGGCTAGCCGCAGCAACAGGCTCGGGAGAGATGGCGCTGAAGGTCTCTTCCAGAGGCACCCCCATGTTGGCCTCTATGATGGCAAACGCTTCCTGGGGGGAGGGAGGGCGTGGGGGTTGGTAAGGGGGGGGTGTTTAGGGGCGGAGATGTTGGAAAAAGGTTAGCTAAATGGCGCGGAGAGATGGCGATGAAGGTCTCCTCCAAAAGCACCCCCATGTTGGCCTCTATTATGGCAAACGCTTCCTGCAGGGAGGGGGCATGGGTTGTGGGGGGGGTGTGCAGGGATGGGGGTGGTTTGGGAGAGGTGGGTGGGTCAATCGGCCAGTACCTGGGTGGGTGGAGAGAGATATAGCGCTGAAGAAGTGGCACCCCCATGTTGGCCTCGATTATGGCAAACGCTAGCATGGCAGCTTGCACAGGAGGCACTTTGGGTAGTAGACTGCACCAGCAGCGTGCGCGGTAGCCTGTAACCTGCTCCCCAGGACCCCTCACCTGTGTGGGTGGGGCTTGTCTGACCTGAGTGGGGAAGGCAGGGACGTCGTCCTGCAGGATGCAGAGCTCGTTCATGTAGTCCTCTCGGATGATATCCGGCCGGTTCGCCAGCACCTGCCCCGACTTGATGAACGACAGGCCCTGCCGGCACAGAAGGCGGCTTCCAGAGCAGACTGCATAGCGCCTTGCACAGGAGGCAGCTTTCACAGCAGCTTTCACAGCAGCTTGTGACCTGCTCCCCAGGACCCCTTACCTGAGTGGGGAAGGCAGGGACGTCGTCCTGCAGGATGCAGAGCTCGTTCATGTAGTCCTCTCTGATGATATCCGGTCGGTTCGCCAGCACCTGCCCCGACTTGATGAACGACGGGCCCAGGCGGCACAGCAGGCGGCGCAGCTGGGCGGCGCGCGTCGGCACGTTGCGGTCGTCGAGGCCCATGAGCTTGTCGTAGGAGAGCGAGAGGAAGAACATGGTGAGCTCCCACACGATCTCCGTGCCTCGCAGCAGGATGCCCAGGAAGGCGGAGGGGGAACTGAAGGCGCGTGCTCGCACCTGGGAGGGTATGGGGAAAGGGGTGAGATGGGGCAAGGGAGTGGGGCATGGGGATGAAAAGAACATGGTGAGCTCCCACACGACCTCCGTGCCGCTCAGCAAAATGCCCAGGAAGGTTGATGGCGAGCTGAACGCGAGAGCCCGCACCTGGGGAAGAGAGGGAGGAGAGGAGAGGTGGTGGGGAAGGACGGGGCGTATGGGGCATGGGAAGCAGTGAGGCACTGGGGAACGAATGGAAAAGGCTTTTGAGTCGTCTCAAAAATGGAGAAGAGCAACAGGGTTCTATTCTCCCCCGTCTCTCCACGTTTCATTCTCCACTTCCCAATCTCCTCTTCTTATCCTTCTCCTCTCCCTCCTCTCGTCCTTCCTCTCACGCATGTTTCTCTCTCCTTTCTCTCCTCCCTCTCCTCGCTCTCCTTCCTTCCTTCCCACTCCTCCATCTCATCCTGCTCCTCCCTCTCCCCACTATCCTCCACTCCTGCAACTTAATAAGTAACCCTGATCCTTCTCCTAAGGAGGCGTTGACCGGCGTTGACTCACCATCTCCGGAGTGTATTTCTTGAACGGGTTACACACGCCTCGCTCCAGCTCCAGTTGCTCCATTGCTCGCATTTCACCTCCGGACGGGTCGCCTGCAAGCTGATTGGGCAGGAATCCCGAGTCGCCAACCACCGTTGTCCGCAAAGACAACGGCTTCATTGCCACGTCAGCGGTGCTGCTGTTCATGCGGCTGCTGATTCGTCGAAGAGCGCGCGTCGCGGGACCCGTTGCGGCTCCGTTTCCACTGCGTGTCGTTCCGTTACCGTTACCGTTATCGTTTCTGCTGCGCGCAGAGCCGTTCCCATTCCCACTACGCGCCGAGCCGTTACCACTCCCACTGCGCGCCGAGCCATTCCCGTTGCCATTCCGCGCTGCGGAACCATTGCCGCCCAACCGCGCGCCGTTTTCCCGGGAACCGGCAGGACGCGGGGAGGAGCTTCCCCCTCCCCCTGTGGTGGTTTGCTGAGGTCGTGACGTCACCGCCGCGCGGGGACGAGCGGGAAGCGGGGGAAAGCGGAGGCCCGGAGCAGGGGAGGTGGCGGGGAAAGGTCGGGGGAGTAAAGGTGCTTGGAGATGGAGGAAGAGAGAGCTGTGGCTGGAGGAGAGGAGTTGGGGTGATGGCGCCATGACTGCGTGTTAGGCCTCAGTCTATGAGTAAAGATGCTGGGATTTGGCGTTTTGTGATGAAATAATATGCAAAATGCCGTCGAAGTTGGCTGTGATTCTGCTTGTCGGGCGATACGGTGACGTTAGGCGACGACGCGCGAGCAGTGTGGGACGGGAGTTTGTTCTTCTCCAAGAGAAAAATGCGGGTAACGACACTGGCGAAACGTGAAGGAGGCTTACTTCGCAACTGGATACGACGCTAGTTTCGTATTTACAGTGTGCGACTTTGAGGAAAGAGAGCCAGCGAATTCCAAGCAGCCGTACAAAAAGGCTGGACAAAAAAAACGAGAGTGAATGAGAAATCACACGAACTCGTGCAATGGCCTATTCACTCTTGTTATCACTTTCTCGACCTAACAGCAGAGGCTGAAAGCCCGAGGATGAAGATGCAGGCACACCAGCCGAAGTCGATGCTGAACGCTAAGGCCTAAGACGATATCGCAGCTTTAAAATAGTAGAAGTCCTGAAGCTCAGCTCAGACATTCAGTATAGAAGACCGTCTTCTGACTAACGGTCCTGGAAAGCTGAGCTGACGCTAGCTCGATCGTCCTGCAGAGAGGAGGAAGATTGATTTCTGGAAGACACCCTAGGTATTGTCAGAAAAGGTGTTGCCCTGAGAGAGGAGAGCTGTTCAGGATTCATGAATACGGCAGGTATCAAGTAGGACGAACGAACGTACTGAATGAAGTGTAACAGAGTGAACGAATTGGCTGGGCGAATGATGACGACGAATATGATTGTGGCACGTCATTACTAGTCAGGGGCTTGTTTCGTGATTCTCGCAAAAGTGCTTTAGTGGACGCGGATGCGTGCAGTCAACGTGTTCGTTGTGGCTGCGAGATGTTGGTGACAATGAACGAGGGGGGAAGCCCATGCTACGTGGCTGGCAGAACGCCCAGGAGCCTGGGAAGCGGCTGATGTGGCATATTCACACGACCTCGCTGATTGGCATTCGAACAGACTGTCGTCTTGGATAAAGCCACAGGTTCGTCGTTTGGGTATGGTGGTGGCTTGCAGCTGAATCATAGTCAACAACCCAATAATGACGGTGGGCTGAAGGTGTAATTTGGAGGGTACAAATACGTGATGGGTAATCTTCTAAACGACTCTGTTATGCCAAGGTTCTACTGTAAAAAACAAAGCATAATGAGGTATTTGAATGACAAAAATTGTCGAACATCCGAAGCCTCTCCAAACCCTTCAAATTCTTTCTATCATAGAGTTTTACCACTCCCAGGGATTTCCCAACCTTCAGCGAATTCGTGCACTTCACCAACGAATATCACAGGTTTGTGTTCAGCTTCGGTGGTGCTTGCAGTGGAATCATTTTGCAAAGAAACTGATGATGTCGGTGGGTTGTTCTTTGACCAGAGGTGTATTTAGTAGGGTACAAGTTCGTCACGGGTTTTCTTTTAAATGGCGGTGATTGTCGTACATCCGAAGATTCTTCCACGCCCTTCAAATTTCCATCATAGAATACCTCTCCCAAGGGTTCCCAACCTCATCGTATTTGTGGAGGGCACTTGACAAACAGATTTCAGACACCCTCGTGCTTGCAGCAGAATCATAGCCAAGAACCTGATACTGCTGGACGGTGGGCTAATCTTTAACAAGAGGTGTAAATTACAAGGTATAATTTCGTAGCAGGTAATCTTCTAAATGACTCCGCGATACGAAGGCGCTCCCGTCAAAAACAAAGCATAAACGATGCATTTTAATGAAGGTGTTTGTCGAACCTCCGAAGATTCTTCCACACCCTTAAAAAGGTCATATTATTATTTTTAGCCTCTCCCAGGGATTTCCCGATCAGTTGGTATGTCGGGCAGCAATTCAGCACGTAAAAATTATGCATCATTGCAGCTGTTTCGTTATAAGGCACCCTATAAAACCGACACACACAACTTAAATACCATACGTTGTAAGTCCACTCCAACCATTCGTCATTAGCTGTGATTTCGCACCTTCGGCGACCTTGAGAACTGTTGTTGACGTTTCACGCTTCCCATCCTTGCGCCGACTTTCCAGTCATGCACCAATCAAATCGTGTCGCGGCCTTTCCACGTGGCCAGGGTACCTTAGAGCTTTCTTACTGGGCTGCGCGAAAATGGCGTCACGTGGCATCTTCCCGCCAAAAGCAGCGCGCCATTCTCGCAGCGCTCTTGCGCTCCGTCCTTATCTCCATGCGCGAATCTGGTTCAGTTTCAGAAAATACTTTTGCCCTTGACTTGACAGAAGGTGCACCAACGGCGCTGGATCATCCCCTGTCAGAGGCAACGAGGGCAGGACACGTGGCAAACTCGTTGTTTCCTGCTGACGTGTACAAGGCTTTGCTCGAAGGGGAGGAGGATGAGGAAGACGAAGAGGGTGTTCGCCCAGGGAATGGGGAGGGCAGAAGCGAGAGGGAAGGAGAAGGAGAGGGAGAGGGGGGGAGGAACATACCTTGTGAGAAAGACAGAAGCACTTTAATCTCTCACCTCTCTCCTGTTTCATTTCGTGGTGTACCGCGTCGCCCCCTTTACCAGCACGTAGCGGCCGCGCTCTTTCACTATTGTCACACGGGATGCTTGCCGTCAGCCGTGCTGACGTGTCAGGGAATGGAGGAGAAGGAGGGGAGGCGAAGGGAAGAGGTGGACCGGTGGCATGGGACGGTTATGGACGCTGGTGGCCGGCTTCTAGAGCTTATAGAGGAGCTTTCTAACGAGTACAACATTTTGAACGGCCCACGGAAGGAGATTGAGGAATTTGCAAAGATTGGGGATATGGGGCAAGTGGGGGAGCAGAATGTGGGACATATGGGGGAGCGAAAATGGAGGAAACAGAGGACTCACCAGCTGCACGTGCAGGCGGAATTTCTGAAACAGCTCACAGGTCTGGGGGAAGGGGGAAGGGGGAAAGGGGGAAGGGGATGGGGAAAAGGGGGGAGGGGGAATGGGGGGTGGGGGAATGGGGGGTGGGGGTGAGCGGGAGAAGAGAGGAGAGATGGGGGGCCGGGATGAGCAGAAAAAGGGGGAAGAAGTGGGGGCGGGGTTAGTGGAGGGGTTCTGGATTGGAAGGAAGGAAGGAGGAAACTCAGCTGTTATTGGACAGAGGAGGGGAGCGATGCTCAGCATGCATGGAATGCGTGAGCATGGGTTTGAGGGAAACGGTGCATGATGGGCTGCTCTGCTCTGGTAAGGTACTATGGGTCGGTTGGGAAGGAGGGCTGAGTGGATCAGAGGGTCGGGTTTCTTACTGCAGGCGGGGAACAACACGGCTGTCTTACTGTTGATGGCATGGGTTGGGGGCAACGGTGCATGACGGGCTGCTTTGGAAAGGTACTATGGGTCGGGTTGGGAGGGACGGGTGAGTGGAGCAGAGCGAATTCCAGTTTTGAGGCGCCTCAAAACTAGACTGCTCTGCTCTGGTAAGGTACTATGGGTCGGGTTGGGAGGGACGGGTGAGAGGAGCAGAGGGTCGGGTTTCTTACTGCAGGCGGGGGACAACACGGCTGTCTTACTGTTGATGGCATGGGTTGGGGGCAACGGTGCATGACGGGCTGCTTTGGAAAGGTACTATGGGTCGGGTTGGGAGGGACGGGTGAGTGGAGCAGAGCGAATTCCAGTTTTGAGGCGCCTCAAAACTAGACTGCTCTGCTCTGGTAAGGTACTATGGGTCGGGTTGGGAGGGACGGGTGAGTGGAGCAGAGGGTCGGATTCCTTACTGCAGGCGTGGAACAACACGGCTGTCTTGCTGTGTTCTTTCTCTTCCCTTTTTACCCTGTTGCACGCAGAGGTGACTTTTGAGTCGACGCAAAAGTCATCTTGCTGTCTTCTTTCTCTTCCCTTCTACCCTGTTGCACGCAGAGGGAGCGAAGAAGGTGGAGGGGCGATGCAACCTGCCTTTCTACAGCAGGTAGGGCGTGAGGGATCTTTGGCCTGTGCTGCTGCTGCTGCTGCTGCTGGTGATTTCAACTGCGATAGTCAATTAACAAAAGGGACGCCGGCTGAGCTATTGCTTTTTTTCCTGGTCGTCATTTCAGCCCTCTCACCCTCACCCTCACGAAATGACGACCAGCCATTTCAGCCAGCCTCCCGCTGCTCTCTGCTCGTCCTCCTCCTTGTCCTCCCCTTACCCCCACTCTACCCAGCATCATTGCAGGTGATCTTATCACATTCAACAGTACCCTTACACTCAACGTTCAGGTATGCCACAGGCCAAAGCTTCTCACCCCCTGTATTGAGACGAATTTTGAGTCCCCTCTAAAAATTTCCACAACTGCCTCCTCGTCCCTCCTCACCCCTCCCACGCTACACTGCCGCCCTACCTCAACCCACCCATTCCCAGTCCGTGCAGGCATACCCCTCCTTTCCCCACATGCTGGCATCTGATGGACTCTCTGTCTTTCTGCCATAACCTTCTCGACTCATCTCTACCGTTCCCAACCCCACCCTAACCCACACATTCCCAGTCCGTGCAGGCATACCCCTCCTTTCCCCACATGCTGGCTTCTGAAGGGCTCTCTGTGGTTCTGCCTGGGGTCA